TCAGGACAGAAATATGGGAGATGCTGTCTGACCTGAAGGAAAGAGGAGGACCAAATAGGGCAAGTATAACCACAGGAGAGCGCCCTCCACAGTGACCAGATGGTAATACAACACTATTATGGGGCATCAGGAGTTGGGGGTCTAGGATACACCTCTACCCGGAGTTGGGGTCTAGGATACACCTCTACCCGGAGTTGGGGGTCTAGGATACACCTCTACCCGGAGTTGGGGGTCTAGGATACACCTCTACTCGGAGTTGGGGGTCTAGGATACACCTCTACCTGGAGTTGGGGGTCTAGGATACACCTCTACCCGGAGTTGGGGGTCTAGGATACACCTCTACCCGGAGTTGGGGGTCTAGGATACACCTCTACCCGGAGTTGGGGGTCTAGGATACACCTCTACTGGAGTTGGGGGTCTAGGATACACCTCTACCCGGAGTTGGGGGTCTAGGATACACCTCTACCCGGAGTTGGGGGTCTAGGATACACCTCTACCCGGAGTTGGGGGTCTAGGATACACCTCTACCCGGAGTTGGGGGTCTAGGATACACCTCTACCCGGAGTTGGGGGTCTAGATACACCTCTACCGGAGTTGGGGGTCTAGGATACACCTCTACCTGGAGTTGGGGGTCTAAGATACACCTCTACCTGGAGTTGGGGCTCAGGATACACCTCTACCTGGAGTTGGGGGCTCAGGATACACCTCTACCCGGAGTTGGGGGTCTAGGATACACCTCCACCCGGACACCTCTACCCGGAGTTGGGGGTCTAGGATACACCTCTACTCGGAGTTGGGGGTCTAGGATACACCTCTACCCGGAGTTGGGGGTCTAGGATACACCTCTACCCGGAGTTTGGGGGTCTAAGATACACCTCTACTGGAGTTGGGGGCTCAGGATACACCCTCTAGGATACACCCTACCCGGAGTTGGGGGCTCAGGATACACCTCTACCCGGAGTTGGGGGTCTAGGATACACCTCTACCTGGAGTTGGGGGTCTAAGATACACCTCTACCTGGAGTTGGGGGCTCAGGATACACCTCTACCTGGAGTTGGGGGCTCAGGATACACTCTCGGAGTTGGGGGGTCTAGGCTGGAGTTGGGGGTCTAAGTTCAGTTGGGGGATACACCTCTACCTGGAGTTGGGGGTTCAGGATACACCTCTACCTGGAGTTGGGGGTTCAGGATACAGAGGAGGAGGGTCTGTAGAAGGGGAGGGAGAAGGACATGCGGGAAGCTCACATGGGGGACACTTACTGCTCATCTGTGAGGGAAGTCAGGTTTTTCCAGTAGATGGGAAACTCTTCAAACTGAAAGGTATAGATGGCGATAAGGACCAGCATCGTGTAGGCCACCACCAGCCACCAGAAGAAGTTCAGCAGCTTCCGCCAGAGTGTATAATACACCTGAAAGAACAGTCCGGAACACAAGGTCAATCAAGGAAGAGAAACATTCTTCCATTTTCAGAAGGAAACCTTCTCGGCTTTTTCCCGTTTCACCGGACCCCAACCCATAGAGCCGATTCCTTAGCTCACATCCTCAGACTAAGCCAACATCCCCGAAGCAGAGACGTGCTATCATGGAAATGGCTCCCGCCAGCTCCGCCCCCTGCCTGCAACAGATGTGATTGGTAGCTGCTGTGCCAGTTCACAACCTCAGATAACGACTGCCATGATAAACAAGACATGCAGAATGGTTACGGCTTGAGGGCTGAAAGGTCAAGTTCTGTTCATTCATTCAATGGCTCATACAGATGAAGCCCCGCTCCTCTACAAGATGGCGGCCTCCACATTCAGACACAGTGCAGAACAAGGCAGAAAGGGCAGCAGTACTGGGGAGAGAGACCGCAGCAATATTGGCGATTGATCCTTTGCCCTCCACAGTTCAGTTCCTCTTTCATTCTAGCCGGAAAATACAGGGAATTAGAAAGGATTTTCCTGGTGAAGGGAAGCCTAGAACTAGCGAGGATTTCTTCTTTCCTTTCAGTTACTCGGTTACAGATTTCCTCATTTTCCTGTCTGATGAACTCAATGTCAGCAGAACAGGTAAGTGAGGGAAATCTCTCTACCGCTTATCAGAAGATATAAGAAAGAAAAAATCATCTCAGTTTACATAAACCAAAGTTCCACCAACAAACGTATATTGCGTCCGTCCGACTTCTGGACGTACCTGGAAGATGACGAGGCAGAGTTGTTGTTTACAGGAAGATAGGAACATATAGACGATTTTAGGGGAAGACCACCAGCCTTCCGGCGATATAAGCTGCTGAACACGATGAACATCCAGTTCCCCGCAGACGTAGATCCAGTATTTGGCGTAGAATCCCATCACCTGCTCCCCCAGAAGACACTTCAGTGAAGAGATGCTTCTCGGCAGACTGACCTGCAATGACACGACGTAGATCCAGTATTTGGACCCCATCGTCAGACGTCGGGAACCCATCGTCAGACCGTGGACCCCATCGTCAGACCGTGGACCCCATCGTCAGACCGTGGACCCCATCGTCAGACATGGGACCCCATCATTCCAAGTCCGATAACATGGGGTGCATTATGGGTAACATGGTCCTGCACTCACCAGATTCCGGGACTGTCACCTCCTCCAATGGTGGCTCACCCTCCGACGTTTCTGCAGCTGCTCAGTGACAAACTGGTGGAGGAGAAGCCAAAATGTCAGCGTGTAAAGGAGCTGGAAGACAAGAGGGAAACCCCAAAGGCCAGAATTATTGTCTACCACAAGAGAACGTTCCGTGTGATTATCAGCAGAGCCGAGTCCCATACACCTGAGAAGGATCCATATCTCACTGACAAGAATGGGGGATCAAATAATCAGGACTTCTGATAAAGTATAGATTACATAGTACAGAATTAATTATTATACAGGACTGATCGCTCGCCAACAGTCTGCTCGGCCACTTTACAGAAGCACAAATGTACATCAGGTGCAACAGAGAGATATATGGAGAGGCTGAATATGAAATACGAGAGAGAGATTTTTAGTCGAATAGGCTGACTGTGTCCTAGATATCAGAATGAGAGGTAAGTGGCCTCCAATACCAATCAATGCTTCCAATAGCAGGAAGACTAAAAGTATATCTATCCTCAGGAACACTCATTTCATATCCTGCAGTTTACTGATCCTCCACTAGGGCCGGCCCGTCCAGGGACTTCCTGTCCTCGGGTGACAATTTCCACTCATGGTACCATGTCTATGGAGCTATGCATGGACTATTGAACACCTCCCCTTCAATCCATCTCCCATAACATATGGAGGGGGGGTTCTGCAGTCCACACAGAAAAGGCGGTGTCAGAGCGAACACTAGTGGCCTGAGAAACACTGAACACAGATGCACAGCAAGGTACAGCATGCACGCTGGATTGCTGCCATTTTTGCACACTATATAAAAAATGGTTTCAATTGTAAATGTCAACTGACAACGGAAACAGCAAATTAGGTTGTCACCTCATACCATTACAGACCTTGGCACACATTATTACTTACAAGGGGGGTGGGGGTATTCCGGGCCAATTTAGGTGGTAATTAAACTCACTTAGTGCCCTTATCTGCATAGATCAGCCTCAGGACCCTGTCATTATTATGTGTTCGGGTCAATGGGTTTGATGGTTGAACAACTCTACAAAGACGACAGATTTCCAGTATAGTTTGAGGGGTAAAAGGAAACCAGTTTATAAACGTAGATTGGCTGATGACCACTGGTGGCTGTAGGCCGTCCTTGTGGTTGGGTGGGCTTGTGTGGCATTCTGCACCCCTGGGTCTGGCTAGAATTGGCCGCTTCTGTTTAGTAGAACATATTAAAAGTGTGTAAGTTGGAGGCAGCCAGGCAACAAACATTTTCTGAGGGTTTCTAAAAAGAAGTCTTCAATAAACTGTATTTCTGGTTCTAAGGGTTGCCCCACATCTCAGTCCAACATTGTGTTCTGAACAAACCCGGCAGACTAAGAATCGACCTTTGTCCTCCATATGGCTCCGCTCACTACGGAACTTCGGCATCCTTTCTGCTGGGATGAGCCGGCATTTATGGGGGCCCCCCCCACACTTTACTGGGGCTGCAGGTCTGCTATGAGAGATGATGGGAAGGAAATGGGGGTTACCATAGCTCCTCAAGGTTCAGGCAGGGGTAAGGGGGCTCCGCTCCAGTCCCAGCTGGGACCAGCCCTCATGAAGCCAAGCCGTTTGTGGGCAGCTCGTTCTCCAGGTCCATGCTCCAGACGTACATGTAAGCTGCAGAGTGTCATGGCGTAGAGGAGGATGAAGGGGGAGCACAGCATAGCGAACTGGCCGCCGGTTCCGAACCATCCAGATCAGGCAGCCCCCAGAAGAAGCAGAACGAAGGTCAGCCAGCTGTGATAGTGGTGATACTCCAAACCTGCCCGGACGACAAGCAGAAAAAAATCGTTTAGATTAGAAATATTTCACTTCAAGGTCCAAAACAACTGAAATTAAAGGACAAAAAAACCTGCTGGGAACCCAATTCTACACTCATACCTTCTCTCCTGTACATTCCAAACCCTATCAGTGTAAAGACGGGTCCCACTGCAGACCCCCCCCCCCCTCAACGTTTCATCACTCGAGGTGTCACGGGTCATACTACCACCAGATCCAATTATACTGGAAGAAAGAAACTAAATCAGAATCCCTCATCCTTTTATACATGGAGGAACCCCGATAATGACTTTACCTACAACTCCGGATACATTAGTGTGATGGTCAGTGGGAAGAAAGTATGTCCCTTACATTGGTGGTCAGTGAGAAGAATGTCCCTTACATTGGGGGTCAGTGGGGAAGAATGTCCCTTACATTGGGGTCAGTGGGAAAGAAATGTTCCCTTACTTTGGTGGTCAGTGGGAAGAATGTTCCCATACATTGGTGGGTCAGTGGGAAGAATGTCCCTTACTTTGGGGGTCAGTGGGAAGAATGTCCCTTACATGGGGGGTCAGTGGGAAGGAATGTCCCTTACATTGGGGGTCAGTGGGAAGAATGTCCTTACATTGGGGGTCAGTGGGAAGAATGTCCCTTACATTGGGGTCAGTGGGAAGAATGTCCCTTACATTGGGAGTCAGTGGGGAAGAATGTCCCTTACATTGGTGGGTCAGTGGGAAGAATGTCCCCCTTACATTGGGGTCAGAGGGAAGAACGTCCCTTACATTGGTGGTCAGTGGGAAGAATGTCCCTTACATTGGGGGGGTCATGTGGAAAGAATGTCCCTTACAATAGGGGGGTCAGTGGGGTTAAGAACGTCCCTTACATTGGTGGTCAGTGGGAAGAATGTACCCTTACATTGGTGGTCAGTGGGAAGAGATGTTCCCTTACATGGGGGGTCAGTGGGAAGAATGTCCCTTACATTGGTGGTCAGTGGAAGGAAGAATGTCCCTTACATTGTTGGGTCAGTGGGAAGAATGTCCCTTACATTGGGGGTCAGTGGGAAGAATGTCCCTTACATTGGGGGTCAGTGGGAAGAATGTCTCTTACATTGGGGGGTCAGTGGGGAAGAATGTCCTTACATTGGGATCAGTGGGAAAGAGGATGTCCCTTACATTTGGGGTCAGTGGGAAGAAAATGTCCCTTACATTTGGGGTCAGTGGGAAGAATGTCTCCCTTACATGGGGGGTCAGTGGGAAGAATGTCCCTTTATTGGGGTCAGTGGGAAGAATGTCCCTTACAGTGGAATAATTGTCCCTTACATAGGGGTCAGTGGGAAGAATGTCCCCTTACATTGGGGGTCAGTGAGGAAGAATGTCCCTTACATTGGTGATCAGTGGGAAGAATTTGTCCCTTACATTGGGGGTCAGTGGGAAGTGGAATGTCCCTTACATTGGGGGAATCAGTGAGGAAGAATGTCCCTTACATTGGGTGATCAGTGGGAAGAATGTCCCTTACATTGGGATGGTCAGTGGGGAAGAAATGTCCCCTTACATTGGGGGTGCAGTGGGAAGGAAATGTCCCCTTACATTGGTGATCAGTGGGAAGACATGTCCCTTACAAAACATTGGGGGGGTCAGTGGGAAGAATGTCCCTTACATTGGGGGGTCAGTGGGAAGAATGTCCCTTACATTGGTGATCAGTGGGAAGAATGTCCCCTTACATTGGGTGGGGTTCAGTGGAAAGAATGTCCCTTACATTGGGGGATCAGTGAGAGAAGAATGTCCCTTACATTGGTGATCAGTGGGAAGAGAATGTCCCCTTAACATTGGGGGTCAGTGGGAAGAATGTCCCTTACATTGGGGTCAGGTGGGAAGAATGTCCCCCTTAACATTGGTGATCAGTGGGAAGAATGTCCCTTACATTGGGGGTCAGAGGGAAGAATGTCCCTTACATTGGAGGTCAGTGGGAAGAATGTCCCTTACATTGGGGGTCAGTGGAAGAATGTCCCTTACATTGGAGGTCAGTGGGAAGAACGACCCTTACATTGGGGGGTCAGTGGGAAAGAACGTCCCTTACATTGGGGGTCAGTGGGAAGAACGTCCCCTTACCCAATTGGGGGGTCAGTGGGAAGAATGTCCCCTTACATTGGGGGGTCAGTGGGGGAAGGAATGTCCCCTTACATTGGGGGTCAGTGGGAAGAATGTCCTCTTACACCTATTGGGGGGTCAGTGGGAAGAATGTCCCTTACATTGGGATCAGTGGGAAGAATGTCCCTTACATTTGGGGTCAGTGGGAGAATGTCCCTTACATTGGGGGTCAGTGGGGAAGAATGTCCCCTTACATTGGGGGGTCAGTGGGAAGAATGTCCCTTACATTGGGGATCATCAGTGGGAAGAATGTCCCTTACATTGGGGGATCAGTGGGAAGAAATGTCCCTTACATTGGTGATCAGTGGGAAGAATGTCCCTTACATTGGGGGTCAGTGGGAAGAATTCCCTTACATTGGGGGATCAGAGGGAAGAATGTCCCTTACAATGGGGGGTCAGTGGGAAGAATGTCCCTTACATTGGGGTCAGTGGGAAAGATGTCCCTTACATGGGTGATCAGTGGGAAGAAATGTCCCTTACATTGGGGGGGTCAGTGGGAAGAATGTCCCTTACATTGGGGGGTCAGTGGAAGAATGTCCCTTACATTGGTGATCAGTGGGAAGAGAATGTCCCCTTACATTGGGGGGGGTCAGTGGAAAGAATGTCCCTTACATTGGGGGATCAGTGAGAAGAATGTCCCTTACATTGGTGATCAGTGGGAAGAATGTCCCTTACATTGGGGGGTTCAGTGGGAAGAACGTCCCTTACATTGGGGGTCAAGTGGGAAGAACGTCCCTTACATTGGGGGTCAGTGGGAAGAACGTCCCTTACATTGGGGGTCAGTGGGAAGAACTTCCCTTACATTGGGGGTCAGTGGAAAGAACGGTCCCTTACATTGGGGGTCAGTGGGAAGAATGTCCCTTACATTGGGGGTCAGTGGGAAGAATGTCCCTTACATTGGGGGTCAGTGGGAAGAACGTCCCTTACATTGGGGGTCAGTGGGAAGAACGTCCCTTACATTGGTGGTCAGTGGGAAGAACGTTTTTTGGGAATATTTTGGATCTCATCTTCAGGCTTTATTAGTATCGTGTGTTCCAGATTAGGTGGCGAGGATGAGAACCTCGGGTGGAACTTGTCTCATCTAAACCTCAGTGGAGGGTTTGGTGTTCTCTTTGCCGTTGCCCAACGTGTGGTCTTCATGCCAAGATGAAATAGAGCTCTAAGACCCTCAGAACGAACATTGTATACGGTTTTTTCATCTTTCAAAGGATTTTAAAGGGATGTCAATTGATTTGAAATCAATCATTCCACTGTACGGAACATCTACGAGTGGCCTAGATTTCAGACAACCATCAATTTCTCCAGAAAATCCGGCCCAGCAGACCTGGAGAAATTATTTTGCTTGAAGAGCTTGACCATTTTGATGCTAAAAGAAGTCTAAAAAGAACCACAAAATGTAATTGTGGGATGTTTAGGTCACTCTGGCAACTGCTGGGGTCAAGGTGTACAAATCTACAATCGGAAGGAGGTTACACCAATTCAAGCTGCATGAGAGGTGTTACGACGGACCTTCGCCCTGAAGGAAAATGTCATACCGCCGCCCCCCCACCTTGCGAAGTGCCGCTGGACTTCGGGTCTTTGTGAATCATACATACACCATACAATCTGCATCATATTAAAGTGTGATCGGTAAGAATGAGAGGCCATCAGTCCAAAAGCTGAAAATTTAAACCAGAAATTTGTCTTACTGCCAAATCCACCGAGGAATGGCCCAGACGAAGAAATAGATGGGTTATGGGCTGCCCCAGGCAAAGCCCCGATTTGATGCCCATTGTAGGGGATTCCATTCCATGGAAGGAAATCCACCACAATTCCAGCCCAACATCCTGGAAATGAGGGAATTTTGCATGGGAAGGAAAAGGGGTCAGAGTCAGAGACTGGAAGGCAGTTACAGTCATTGCTATAGTTGCAATACCGTCTTCTGACGCCAAGGGGGCGCACTTCTTTCTGTTACAGTATGCCAAGAAATCTATCGATATTTTTGCTGAATAATCGATTTGAAGTTCTTGTGTTCTCATTCTGGGGACATCACCTTCATCTGTAGGCATTGTTTGTCTCCATGGGGTCGAACTTATTTTCACATGAGTGCAAATCTAAGTTATTTAGTTAAATATTCTTCATGTGAACTCTGAAGAAACATTTGCAGCCGATTTTGGAGGCCAATCGTTTTATTGCATTCATTCGGTTTATTTTGTGGTTTCTGGTTGGGGAGGGGGAGGTTGTGCAGTCTCATGCAAGCTGAGATAAATGGCTCTTTGATGCCCAGTTGGCCACATGGCAATAAAGAAATGATCTCTGTAGCTCCACCCACTATTACACAAGAACATTAACCCCTTGTGTTGGGTGTAACTATAGGGAATGAGCAGCAGATGTGAAGTTCTGTCCTCTCACACTTGGGGGCGCCATTGTCCTACAATCACAAGTTAGGAGCCATCTCTCCTCCATTGGTGGAATGACAGCCATGCTTGCGTCCAGTCCATGCATGCACACCTCCTACACCGCGCGCACATTCCACAGGACTGTCAAGTGATGTCACAGCCGGGCCACCCTCTGATTGGTCAGCCGTATGGGCCAGATGTTCTTCTTTATACTTTGTAAATTGTCGTTCTGGAAAAGGGGGGTTCAGAGAGGAAGTTGTACGCCCCCCCCCCCTCAGGTTCTCTGGGACTTTGCCAAAATGTTCACAAACAAGCCGCAATATAGATCTGCCAGCTGCTGTGCAATGAATGGGGGTGGGGCGGGCGGGGGGCACAATTCTGTGACACTCCTACAAGTTGCCCCCGGGGTGCAGAATGTTCAGAAACAATATATTTATAGAGCTGTGCTGGAAACGTACAATTTATATTCCATCGGGGCCTCCATACACCCCGCTAAGTGGCCAATTACATCCAATCACCAAGACCGGACGGAGACGATTCGCAGCGCTTTATGGGTTCAACTTTACTGGTTTTGGAGCTCGTCAGCCAAGGATTTAATAAAGTTATTGCAGATTTAAAGTGTCAGTTCACAGGAAATGGTGCTGGGCGCGCTGCTCGGTATTTTGTCGATTTTCTGAATTGGCTGAAATATCCGTCCCGGGTGGCGCAGTTGGTGGCGGAGGTCAAGTCCATGCGATTCAAGAGTCCATGCGATTCACGAGTCCATGCGATTCACGAGTCCATGCGATTCACGAGTCCATGCGATTCATGCCCATCCAGCGATTCACGAGTCCATGCGATTCACGAGTCCATGCGATTCACGAGTCCATGCGATTCGAAGCCCAGTTCCTTCGGGACATTTCAGCCTCTATATAGGATTTACAATGTAATCGAGTTTCCTTCGGGAAACATGACGGGATGGCACATATGGCACCAGGAATAGAGGGGAAATCTTCCAACCAGGACACCAATTCTGGTGACAACCTGAGATTTCCCTCACTTTGGAGATATTTCCTCTCACTTCCTGTTGTACCTATAGGACAGGAAGTGGAGGGAAATCTCCACAATGCTAGACAGCAAAAAAACCTGATGGGGCTCTAACCCTTCCTTCATTCTATCCGAAATGGGAAAAACGTTCTGCTTAGAGTTCTACTAATTACTTTGCCCAACTGAACTTTCTATCTACCCCTCTAATACCAGGCCCCCCCCCCTCCAAACCGGGCCCCCCCCCCCCCCCTTCAATACCGGGCCCTTCCCCCCTCCAATACCAAGCCCTTCCCCCCCTCCAATACCGGGCCCTTCCCCCCCTCCAATACCGGGCCCTCCCCAACTCCAATATGGGCCCTTCCCCCCCCCTCCAATACCGGGCCCTTCCACCACCAGCCCTTCCCCCCGCCTATCGGGCACTATTACTCCCCCCCCCTCAGGCACTATTACCAGGCCCCCCCCCCTCCCTGCCTACCGGGCACTATTACCCCCTCCAATACCAGGCCCCCCCCTCCCTGCCTACCGGGCACTATTACCCCCTCCAATACCGGGCCCTTCCCCCCTCCCTGCCTACCGGCACTACTACCCCCCCTCCAATACCAGGCCCTTCCCGCCTTCCTGGCTACCGGGCACTATTACCCCCTCCAATACCAGGCCCTACCCCCCCCCCCCCTGCCTACCGGGCACTATTACCCCCTCCAATACCGGGCCCTTACCCTTTCCCCCCCCCCCTGCCTACCGGGCACTATTACCCCCTCCTATACCAGCCCCCCCCCCCTCCCTGCCTACCAGGCACTATTACCCCCTCAATACCAGGCCCCCCCCCCTCCCTGCCTACCGGGCACTATTACCCCCCTCCAATACTGGGCCCTTCCCCCCCCCCCCTGCCTACCGGGCACTATTACCCCCTCCAATACCAGGCCCCCCCCCCTCCCTGCCTACCGGGCACTATTACCCCTTCCAATACCAGGCCCTACCCTGCCTCCCTGCCTACCGAGCACTATTACCCCCTCCAATACCAGGCCCTTCACCCCCCCTCCCTGCCTACCGGGCACTATTACCCCCTCCAATACCAGCCCCCCCTCCTCCTGCCTACCGAGCACTATTACCCCCTCCAATACCAGGCCCTACCCCCCCCCTCCCTGCCTACCAGGCATTATTACCCCCTCCATCAGATGAAATTCTGCTACAGAGCAGATAATGGAGTTTTGGGCATCGTTCCAGAACCTCTTCTGGTGACCTGGAAGTTGGTTTACATTTCGATGCTCATAAAATCACTCTGTGCCTTCTCATACCCTGAAGATGAAGAAGTTCCAAACTTCAACATCATCCACTCCCGTCTCTCCGCATATATGTCGGGATCTGTATATAATCCATGTGGGTGACAGCAAACAGAGGCAAGAGGTCCTTATTGGATCCAGGAAATAAAACTCTGGAACCTTTCCTAAATCTTGGGAGCTGCCTCATTATCGGCACGCACACATCTGCCGATTGCTGGGGTCATTATTACTCAGACGATTATACAAGAAAAGAAGAACTGCAGGGACCTTCCCCCACGCAGTAGTGTCCCTATCCGAAATGTAGTGCTTCTGTAGTCAGCCGGCACTCTGATGCTTCTGCTTCCTCAGGGCTTCCTCAAGCTCAATGTCATTGATTGCTTCTGCCTGCTGTTAGGAAGTTGTGAGTATTTATGCCCCCATTGGCCAATTACTAGGGGGTGCATGCTGGGGAAATATTTGGTGGGACCTTGGAAAGTGCTCTTGTTCCCCAGGCTATGTGTTGCTAGGTTTTCATGTCCTCCCAGATCTGCTGCCTTGGGAAGGTGTGCTGTGCTACCAAGCCTAGAGCCTGAAGGTTCCTCCTGGAGGGTAAATCCTGGGAAGGGGATAAGGAAGGGCAATGGAGCACTGGGGGGTGAGGTTTCATCCAATGAAGAGTGTGATGGAGAGATGGGTAGGAGGTGGGCACATTGCAGGAAGTTCTATGGCTCATCCAAGGAGTCAGGTCTCATTCCCACCCAGAGATCCCCACCTAGAGGACATTTCTGAATCCATATAAATGCATGGAAGGATTGGTTGGATGGCGCCATTCAAAAACGGGGGGTTTACCTGCAATCAGTTTAGTTGCAATGAAAGAAAATCGAATTCTGTCTGTCCAGGATCTGAACTCCACACTTGGATAAAAGCAGATCATCTGAATGCAGGAGAAATTGATCTGGAGGTATAAAGGTTGTCTATACTTCTCAGAGAATGTCTGGAAATGATCTGGGAACACCAAACTCGGGAGTCTGAATGATGGCCAAAAGCTGGCCACAGATGGGATGAAATTCGACCAGTTGAGCATGGACTGGCTGATCTTCAAACCATCTCTGGCTGTTCCTGTTCAAGAGAAGCCAACCTAGTGACCAACTTTTATAGAATGGGACTGTTGGAAAACCTGTGTTCAGTCGGCTGAAGTGCAGATCTGTGTATTCTGATGGTGGAGAGTCCCACTACCAGAACCTCAGTAGGGAGGATCCCTCCATGCACCACCAATGTGTTGATGGGGGAATGGAATCATCTATGGTCAGGGTG